ATTCATAGAGTATCGTACGACACTGAGTAATATGCCATTGGCCAGTACACACAGCCACAGGTCATGTGTTAGATACTGTAGTATTACTCATCCATGTAAGTAAATAGTGGCTGTAGATACCAGAGTCCTAAACCTGGTATATGGGGTCTTTACCCACATGTATATATATACCAGGTAGCTACACCACAATCTATAGGAACTTCTCCACTGAGAGACTCGACCCCTTCACTGGGTGTCTTGTAGCCTTGCCCACTAAGTCCTCACTGCATAGTGTCAAGCGGCTGCACCATGCTGCCTTGCTGCTACTTTATCAAATTCATCATCAGGTCAGTTGAGATGTTCTCAATCGATTACATGTCGTGTCCGCTGAGAGCTTTCAAATGTCTCAGGAGCTATGCGAAGCGATTACAATTTAGACACAATTATTTGTCGGATTGGCTGGGAATTTATATGGGCACTATGTAGCAATTATAAACTTTGGGTGAACGAATAACATATGGTTACAACATATTATTTGCTATTCACTAGTACAATACAGTTCAGAGACTCCATTGCGACCAATCTGCAAGCACAACACAACAAGAGAGTACACATTTACCGGACACAAATCCTGCCGTGTTGGTCTTAATCCCCGCATCGTCGTTGTCGTTGCCATTGCCTGAGAATGAGCACGCTGTAGTGTTAACTTGGTCGCAACAACCTTGCATGATGAGATTGAATGTCAATGGCCCTGTTCATTTGTAAACGCAGATGCCAGTCATCATGAAGTCGTTGCTCTGGACTGCGAATGTTTCCCTATGCGGCAGCCGTTAGCATCACAATGCTGAGCGAATGATTAAATTACCTGTTCCACCATGCTCACGGGTCATGGATGAGCGAGAACAAGTCTGCCGACTACACACTCAGTCAACAAAGGGCAATGGACCGAGAGTCGCTCCCATGCACCACATACTTGTCGCTCGCAAACATCTTGTAGAATTCATGCGGCGTACCCTCCCAAAGCCCCGCCTTCCCATCCTTGTTACAATAGTCCCACCCAAATTTGTCGCACGCCTTCAGCGACACGCTGAGTGTCACAGCTATGATGTCACAAAGCACCAAAGCACTTAACCCAATTAAGGGCAAGTCTGCTTTTGTGACCTGCACAAATGATCCCACATAAAAAGCCTGCCACAAGGG